GCCCTGGCGAAAGAAAGAGAGAGACGGAGGGAGGGAGTGCGAGCGGTTTCACGTAGCCCGCTTCAAACCTTTGTGAGCCGAAAATCTGTTCGGCACACACAATGGTCTTTCAAGTTTGGCGCGGCGGCCGGGCCGCTGAACAGTTCAACATAACATGCACTTTGCTGCTTTGCACTTTGCGGCTTGTCTTTGTAGCTGTATCCCTCTATGTGTGCAAACAGTGGGTGTCGGCGTTGTCGGCATCACGGAAGAATGACTGCAATGGAGCACCTGGAGCTCAGATAAAGGACCAAACAGCTCTAGTGAGACACAGCGAGACCTCAGTCCTGAGCAGGCATCTCTGGAAAAGTTTGGAGCCAAGCGAATCACTGCAGGACACTGAGTTCATTCACAGCAGGTCAGCACTGCAAGATAATGAATGCCTGCTAGAGCGTGCTTGCATCAGGTCATTACACCCTACCAGGATATAGGCGAGTGCTTTTGAACAATCGCCGGAGGGTGTTTTGAGGAATCGTGGCGGCATTTTGCAGCCTGCAGCATACGCTCGTTGAAGTTGGCGGAAACGATCCCTCGGAAGGTGATCGGAACGTGGTCAAGTCTTTTTCGGAGATTGGAATCGAAGTTGTCCGCATTGCAGGGCTCAAATGTGGCTCAGCCCCTCAGCAGCATCATGGTCAGTTCTGCTCAGGTGTATCCAGTGTAGAGAGACATGTTTCTCAAATCCCTATGAGAGTGAATAGAGCTTCGTTGGACTTGTACTCTTCTAGCAGATGTTCGCAGCTTGCAGGTGGGTCTGTCGTCATGTCAGGGAGTAGGGCTTTGCGCTCAGAGGATATGTCGGTTGAGGTTGATGATATGTGTGGAGCAGTGGTTCATCTTGAATCGATGTAGCATGTCTCTCGCGACTTCCGCTAAACCACTTTGTTCGATCCTCCCGTGAGGGACTGGAGCAAATATGTGCCTTTCAATGCCTTTCATAAAATCTTCACAGAATCGATTTACAATTCACGACATCTGGCGGCCTGCGGCAGACAGCCGAGGCGACCGACATCGCCCATGTGCTTGCAACTTACGGGGACTTGTCGTTGAAGCTTAACCTTGGACCCCTGCTCACAGTCCTGTCAAAGCTTGTGGAGGCCCGAAGCTTGGTGTGAGAAAGTTGTCCGAGAAAACCTTCTACTGCCTGACATTGCAGCTTGGATGAGCTTGAGCTTCGTGTTCCGTTTGTGCGTGTCCACTTCGGTTCACGGTTGAGATCTGCATTCTGAAATGCTGAGGATGCGGTGGTGCAGTGTGGCACCAACTTATCATTTGTCAACCTGGCAGACAGACTAGAGCGTGAAGTTGGGATTCCCATCGTTGCGATCAACGCAACTTGGCAGAGCTTGGCCCGTTGCGTGCTTTCTCCCTAGCTGCCCTAGCTCATGGGAGTGCAGCCTGCCTTTGATCCCATCTCTGAGCAAGGGCTCTGTGATCTCTGACTCTGGCCTTGCCGTCTTCAATAAGCCTGAACATAGGAACAGCGCAGGCTTGTTGTTTATCCAGAATTTCTGGTGGGCTCATACAAACTTGCTTCTTCTTTGAAGCCGACTCGACTTCTCGACGGGCCGTGAAAGAACAGCCAACTTTCAACTTTGAGCCAGTTGGTTCGCACTCAACTCAAAGTAGCTACGGCACCACGTAGACATCCTCAGGACAACAAAGCGCATCGCAAGTACATTGCAAGCCAGACCTGAGGTGGTCTGCCTATGGTTTGCGATGCGAGAGGCTTGGCACAGCAACATCGACACGGGCGGGAGTCTGACTACCACGGAATCTATTGATGCGCGAGAACGGAACGAAGCCAACAGACACATGTTTGTATTAATCTCCTGCTTCATTTTCATCGCACATGAAAACCTGCCTTTTCCGTTAGTGCCTCACCTTTGGCACCACCCCTCCAAGAAGTGGAGGAAAAGGATACTTCGCGGAACCCGAAACGTATTTTGCAGAGTAATGAAGCAAATACACGCAAGCATGCATACGCTTCTTTCATGCAGTTCTTTGGGTTGAACTTAATTAAATCATTCCGCACGTTCCATTCCTACTTTGTTCCCTTGTGTTTCTTCGTTTTACCGTGAGCACATCATTGCCACCACTTCGGTTATGGATGGGGCCGCGCAGCAGTGCCTGTTGGCCTTTCTTGCTCTCTTTTCGCCTTGCAGCTGCGCCCACCTGTTCGCGACGCCCTTTCGAAGGCGACGCACAGCCCACTTTGCTGACACCTTCGCATGTGCGATGCTGCGCAAGATTGAGATCGCCGCAGCCCTCGTCGGGCCTTCATTCCCGCCGGGTCGCCTCATACCCACTTAGCAGCCGGCACTTGAACCCCGAGGCCTGCTTCGACTACGTGAAGGCCCTTTTGTAGAGTAACTGTGGCATCTTTGACCTTTGATGCGTTGGCGTTCATCTACTTCTTGGACATGCTCACGCCCTCACCATCTTCCTCCAACCACGTTGAATGGCTTTCATCGACTGGCCAGTTCGGAGCCATCCTTTCCGGGCAAGCTGCCGATCCGATTTGGATGCCTTTGCACCATTCTGCACCTGAGTGCTTGCTGGACTGTTAGACTTGTGAGTATGGCATCTCATCGTTGCTAGGCTGCAGTTTCGCGCGTCACGCCACGTAATCGACGGGCTTCCGAAAACTCGAAAATTCCGAAAATTCGCAAAAATAACAAACTGGAAAAAGACTTTTCGATAGTCTCGCTTCATTCCAAAATGCTAAAAATAAAATGTTCTGGCCTCTCGGTTGATTCAAAGATCGAAACGTTGAAAAAATCGAAAACTCAAAAAATCGATAACTGGATAATTCGATAACTCAACTCGAAAATTCGATCTTTCGAAACGTCGATGTAATTTCAACTTTCCGTAATCTCGCTTGATTCCAAAGTCCTAAACTTAACATTTTCTCGGTTCTCGGTTTTTGCTGTCTGGAAGGTATGTCGCCGTAAGCTCTAAGCCCAGCATAGGGCTAGTTGCAGCAGTTGGACTGTTTCCACCCTCCCACTTCCAGGCATGATGATGTCCGTGGTCTAAGCCGGTCCAAGCAAAGATCATCCATGGCCCAACCTTGATGGCATCTACACTGACGTTTGCACGCATAATCATGTGCATTCTGGTTACTAATGAGGCTTCCCACTCCCAAGCATGATGACGTCCATGGTCTTTGCCGGTCCAAGAGAGGACCATCCGTGGCCCAACCTTGATAACAATGATAACATCCACACTGGGGTTTTCGCGCACAATCATATGTATTCTGGCCATGATGAGGCTTCTCAACCCACCGTGCGCAGGTGCGCGGCATTCTGGGTGTAAGCCGCGATTATGTTCTCGAGCGGGCGCTTGCGACATCGAGCGATGCCTGCCTGGGCCCCCCGAAAGGGGGAAGCCAGGCACCGAGGTCCCTAAATTTTACGGGAAACCCGGCTTAGGGTTTAGGGTACCCAGCATTCCAAAACAGGAGGCGGCGGGAACTTAGGGTTTAGAGCTCGGCTTTTTGTTTTGCTTCGTATTTTTAGGTCCCCTGATCAAGGGGAAGCTGGGCTTCGGGTGTAGGTTAGTGCTAGGTTTGGTTGTTTCCCCCGTCCGGCCCCCAAGCATGATGACGTCCATGGTTTAAGCCAGTCCAAGAAAACATCATCCATGTCCCAACCGGGCTCACGGTTGTTTTTCGAAGGTTTGGCCAAGCGTGGCTGTTTGAAAGGCTTGGCCAAGCTTTGGTTTAGCCTGTGGTGTTCTGGTCCCTTAGTCACTTGGTCCTTTGCTCCCTGGTCCCCGTCCCGGTCCGCTGGTCCCTGGCCTGGTCCTGCTGCTTGATGATTCGGTCCTGGTCCGCGGTCCCTCTTCCTGGTACCCTGCCCTCTGGTTCGCTGCCCTACTGTCATATTCCTTTGGTGTTTTTATTAGTTTCATTTGTACTATTCATATATTGCGTTAAAGCGGTTACATCACCATTATACTCTTTTTATATGATTCTAGTAGTATTGTTCCGAGTATCGCGGTGATCACAGTTACTATTATTACAATGTTTACTTTGGAGTTATAATGGTCCTGCGTTTACTAGTATTACCAACCCCGCGCTTTTTAAGGCGCAGCTCCCCAACCCCCGCTTTCCTTTCGAGCAGCGCAAGCTTGCTTTTTAGAATACCGCGCCATCAAGAAGAACTGCGTCAATGCTCCAAGAAACATCATGTCAGCAAAACAGAGCCCTTATGGACCCTTTCAGAACCCGTGATGCAAACACTGTAAACCAGAACCCATATGAACCCTTTCAGAACCCATGATAGAGACGTTGTGTTTGTGTTTGCCAATTGGGGGGGTGCGCCGCCCCAACCCCCCCCCCCCCCCCCCCCTCCCCCCAGATCGTGTCGCGCTAGGAGCAGGAGACCAGGCGGGCGAAGTTGCAGGATCTCTTGAGGCAGGTGCCCCTTGCACGCTTGGCTGCATCTGCACCCGGGCTCCGCTGCTTGCTTCAGAGCCAGCTTGCAGAGCTCGCGCTGCCTGCGAGTGATACTGTGGAGAAGGCCTCTGAGTCTCTGGAGCGTTTCGAGTGCCGAATCACATCGGAGTCCATCGCCGATGCAGCAGAGGAGTTGGCGAAAGCTGACTACCAAGCGCCGGAAGCTTTAGATGGCTTTGCCATATCTGCCGCGCTAACGGCCTGCGAGCTTCGGCAGAAGACAGCCGAAGCACGTCTGGCAGTTACGGGAAGTTCGGACTCTGCGAAGACGCCTTTGGACGCAGAGGCCGCGACCAAGGGGGAGGCAGAGTGGGATGTCTTGCAGAGGCGTGCCCGAGAGGCGCGGGACTTAGAGGAAACTATCTCGAAACGTTGTCCACACAGGCTGTCCAAAGCAATACAGAGGCTCTACAGCCAGGAGTTAGCGGCTGCAGAGTCCATGGTGCGATTTCGGCGCCTTGCACAGTGGCAGTGCGTGGCTGGTCTCGTTTGGCGCCTGAAAAGCACGTTGCCCTTCGTGGCGCTCTCTTCCTTGCTGTCCATGGTGCTCGGTGCTTTCTCATCGATGCGCTTGCACTACCAGGCTGCCGTCATCAATTTGGCCAAAGATGCCGTCACAGCCTCGACGGGCTCCTCCAAGACAAGGCCTCCAGCAAGCGTTGGGCAGACGGTAGGGGCTATGGTCGTGAGCGAGCTGATCATCCAGCTGGCCGAGTTTGCGCGCGGCCGCTTGAGCTTGCAGGGCAAGTCCAAGGTGATACAGGAACTCAAAGTGGCGCTTTTCGGGGCGCTGCTACGTCAGGATCTCGAGTATTTGGAGCAGTGTGATCTCCTTCAGCTACGCTCACTGATCGGAAGTTGTGGCAGCACCATTTCGCAGGTGGTCGATTTTCCAGCTACCGCCGTGGAAGCTTCGGTCCGCCTCGGCACAGCAGTACTGGCACTCTCCCGGCAAAATCGTGGCCTGGCGGCTTTTTTGATCATAATGCTGCCGCTGAGATTTATGCTCAGCCAGCTGTTGCATGGACTGGAACAGGGGCTTCAGGACTCGAACGCTCTCCCGGATTTCAGGGGCCAGATCAAGAGCTGCTGGTCCTCGCTGGTGAGGCCGCCTGCGCTGCGTACCATGCGCCTCAGACGCGCTTCATTTTCAGGGTCTGGCCCAACCAAAATCTTAAACCCTAAACTCTCGTCTTCTGACCCAGTGCAGCCACGCAGCACAGTCCGTGGAGCTGCTGCGGCTCTGAGAACAGGTGAGATCGGGTAGAGCTGTCCCAGTTTTTTCTGTTGAAATTTCTTGAAGGATGTGGTTTACATATGCTCATCAAGGGCTAGTGCTCTGTCGCGGAGTTTTTGCAGGCTCCTTCTAATTTGCCCTGCTCAACACAGCCTGAATCAGTCCCCGTATGTTCGATTCCCAGTGTTCGTAGCAATACCACTGCAGTCCGTTTGCATCGGTACTGGGATCGTATGTGTAACCATGTGCAAGCTCGTTTATTTCGCGAGACCTTGAGACATCCGCTGGCAAGTCCCAGTTGTGAGAGCGTAAACCCTGAACCCCAAACTCTTCTAAACCCCTACACTCCTCAAGCCCCAAGCCCCTCCACCAGCTCAGGCCTTCAGAAGCCATGCCTGCCTTGCGCGAGAGTGTGAGTCGAACCCCCTCAAGCCCTTAACCCCGGTGAGAGCCGAAACCCCTAAACCGGCGAGTGGAAAATGCGCTTAGTGCAGGCGCGCCTTCGCACGGGAGCCCGTGGAGTTGGCGACCTTCGCCCGGTTCCTGGCCGTTCACGACCAGATGCAGCAACGGAAGATGCTGCTTTCTTGCGGTTTGGGGTTTTGGGTTAGGGCATTGTTTGGGAATTCTGGAGAAGGCTTTCTTCTTTGGATTATGCAGCTTAAATTCACCCCAAGCAGCCTGAAGTTTAAGCTCTTTCAGAGCAAGTCTGCCGCCAAGACTGCTTTAGAAGGGCAGTCCAGGCTGGTCTTTCGCCTGCTGCAGCCAGTCCAGGCCAGCAGCCATCAGCTTTGCTTTATGCCAAGGGTTCAGGGGTTCAGAGATTGATGTGAGGCCCGGTTATCAGGCTGTCAGAAACTCCTTCATTGAAATTGTGATAATGGGGGGGGATGGGGGGTTATCCTCATCGCCACCTATGTACGGGTTGCATCCCAGACATTTTGTTATGGTGGAGGGGAGGGTTGGCTGGCATAGTCATGCCTCTGTCTCGCGTGTCTATGTGTGTCTGTTTTAGGAATGAGAAATATTCCGCCACAGGTGTCAGATGGTGTGAGAAAAGTTACATAAGGGTAACTCGCTTCTGGCAGTGTGACGATGTTCCCCCCATCACGAGTCACCGTGTGGTTTACGCGCTTGTATGGTATGTTTAGAAAAGGTTATCTCGGTTGTGTAGCAGGGAGAAGCAGGTGGGAGTGATAGGGGTTCGAGGTGGTGCTTAGTGGGCCAGGTATCACGGGAGGGTAGAGTGACCCTCATCACAACCACCGTTTGTTCGACACCTAGTATGGTCTTGCCACGAGACACGGCAGAGGCTTCGAGGATAGGCTAAAGAGAGCACTTCCAGCCGTTATGTAGAGGGGAGAAATGAGTGGGAGTGCGAGCGAACCGAAGTGCGTCTTGTGGGCCAGTCGCTCTACCCTGAACTTTCAACTCTAAACCTGTCTGCAAGCTGTGGCCTGCGAAGGGAAACGTGCGAATCCATATGCTGCGGAGTGCTGCGCGATATCGCCCGTGACAGTGGTCAGACCCCCCCCGGTATGCAAAATATTGAAACAGGGAATAGGTGGGACACTTACTTCCCTAACCCACCACCCCTCTCCCCTGTAGGGCAGGCTACAAACCAAAGCAGTCTTATGGACGACCTCCAGGCATTGCTTGAGCATGGGCTGGAGATCAGCACACTCTGGTACGGAGGCCGCCTGGCCATGCGCGGGGAGATGCAGCTCCTTGGTCGGTTTAGGGTTTAGGTTTTTCAATAACAGAGGGTTTAGTCATATGCGGACCTCTTGCTTTAGAGTGTCGCCGGCAGGGCCCGATGCGGGAGGCTGTTCAAAGATCAAGGATCCACCTCAACCGAATGCGGACTCCGATATCCGAGACTGCGCCAGGTTCGGAGAGCTCGCGTCGGTGGTCCTCATCGCGCAAAACGCGTTCGATGGAGTCAGGCGGGGTGCTGCACAGCGAACAAGTCGGAACTAAACAGACTCAGGCACACATGTTTAAAACTGCTCCAGTTCCTTCGCTGTTGTCTCCTATCTCCGTGAGGTATGCCCAGGGTGCCGCGGCCAACGTCTCCGCCCACGCCCTGGGTCCCCTGGCTCAGATGGCGAACCTCTTGGGCCGAACCCCCCAAGCGGCCTTGGACGAGCCGAGCTTGAGCTCCATGCCGGAGCCTGGAGACTTGGTGGTGTAAGAAGGGTGGCAGTTTCAGAGGAAGAATGTTCCAGCACACCTTGCAGTGGACTTGCATGGGATTCAGATTCTGATGCAGTTGTTGCTTGACTTCCAAACGAAGGAGATGTGCATTGGGACATCGAGTTTAAGAACGTCTCCTTCGAATACCAGCAGCGCCAGGGCGCGACAGTCCTGAGAGACTTGTCTTTCCGTGCAGAAGAGGGCGAGTTCCTGGGTATTCTAGGTGTGGGGGTCTGAATCATACAACGCATGCTTTCCCCCTTCGTCCTATCCCACCAGAGGGCTGACCAGAGTTAGTGGCTATGACAGCAGGTGCGACGGGCTCTGGGAAATCAACGATTCTTTCTCTCCTTCTGCGGTTGTACGAGCCGAGCAGCGGTCAGATTTTCCTGGGAGGCAAGCCTCTGCGAAGTTACAACCCGCTGTGGCTCAGACGCCACATCGGCTTTGTGAGTCAGGATCTCGTCCTGTGCCGGCGTACGGTGAGAGAGAACCTGCTGTATGGATGCGTCTCTGTGGACATGTCGGGGCAAGCGCAGTTGGAGGAGCCCACGGAAGAGTTTGCCAGGACTGCACTGCGAGCTGCTCAGTGCGAGGAGACCTTCTTCAACCAAGCAGCCTTTCCAAACCTTTGGCATACGGATGTGGGGGATGGAGGGAGTGAGCTGAGTGGTGGGGAGAGGCAGAGGCTCGCGCTGGCAAGGGCCATCGTCAAGAAGCCACGGCTTCTCATCCTAGACGAGGCAACCTCGGCACTGGACGAAATCTCCCAGGCGAAGTTGCAGGAGGAAGTGGAAATCCTTCGAAGGGAACAAGGCGTGACGGTCATTTGTGTGGCCCATCGCCTGTCTAACCTAGCCAAGGCAGACCACCTCTTGGTGGTGAAGGATGGTGAGTTGGCCGAGGAGGGGTCGCCGTCGGCGCTTCTGAAGACGGACGGCATTTTTGCCGAGTATGCCCGGGCTCATCAAGCGGTGCTTCAGGATTCCTGAGGCTGCCTTTTTCTACGTACCGGACCACCGTGTCACTGCTGGTTCAGCGCAACTTCTGGAGTCGTCGACACAGTGCTCTCGCGTGTCCAGGAGGATCGTTTCATGACCACTGCTCGTTGCGACCAGAGCCCATTGCTGTGTGCTTAGTTCAGGATTCATGAAAGTAAACCGGTCAACCGTTCGAAACTACAAAATACAAATGTCTCAAGAGGTAAACGCAACACTTCGCAGCTAAGCTCCAATCGAAAGAAGACGGTGTCAGGCCCGTCGTATCCCTTCGTCAAGTGCTTCCCTGTGCTGAGCGTGAGAGTCGAAACCCCTTGCGAGGCCGTTGCTGAACCAGTGGTTCGGGCGCTTGTCACCCGAAGCAGGCTCCACGTGGGGGATGTTTAGATGCTTTGTCGCGCTCCACGGGAGGGTTTTTTGTGTGTTCACATCTTCTCAGCGTGGTTGCTCGCAGTATCTTGTAGCTAGCCGCACACCTACAAAGAAACGGTCGTACTGATGTGCAGTCGGAATAGTTCTTCAACATCACCCAGTTCCCCAAATATCCAGCCTTCAAGCCTTTTGAAATTTGGGCTCTTATAATTCAGTAGTAAGTCTGCAAGTTTAACCTTTTATTTCCCTGGCTTATTGGGGAATGAAGATCAAGGCGCTACGAACTAGTTAGGGCTAGGGTTTCCTTTAAAGGTGATGGTTATGGCCCGGTTGTTGTGG